TACGAAAAACGCGCCACTGCGCATGTACTTGTTGGAGTGCATGTAAAAGATCTCTTGACAATTTGAATTCTAATTCTACACGTCACAGCCCGGACAAAATTTCACAGTATCACACTGCATGCATGGGTGTGTGTCCGTTTTCATTTGCTAGTTGATTTTAGAACAATATGACGTGAAACTTCATTTCATTTTTTTTTTTTTTTTTTAATATATACCCAATATCGAACATTCTGAAGGTCAAAAGTTCTCTATTTTAAAGGAGCTAAATGGCTAATATTTGAGGTTCAAGGCATATCATAATGTAACTTGAATGTATATAAACTGATTTACATTTAATCGTTTCTGTTTTTACTGTAAATTTTATTCAGTTATTTTCGGCGATAATCGCCAGAAGTCTCAATCGAATGACAATCTCAAGCGTATTGCGCATGCGTCGAAGACTTTGGATGATATTGAGTTAGAGATTTAGCTACTTTAAAACAAATTTATTACAGTCACCTATCGTGCATTTTTCGGGCAATATATGTGTATATTTTTTTTTTTTTTTTTTTTTTGCCATAGTTTAATTCACATTAAAATATACCGGTACGCAAATTTATTATTTAACATTTAAAGGGCGTATAGCTCTATTTTTTGGAACATTGAAATAGATATAAAATGGTCCCAAAAGCACATATTAATGTAACATGAATGTATGTAAAGTGATTTATATTCAATTTGTAAAAAAATATATTGTAATTTATAATCAATTGTGTTCTTTGAATCACGTGAACAGTGCAAACTGAACAGCAGTCGTTTACGCCTGCTATGTGCATTCTGTACGTTTTTTAAATTATTATTTTGTCGTTTGTGAATCAGCCTTTACTAATTACTTCCACATTGTGTTGTAGGATATGTTTTTTATTTGTTCATTACAAAATGGCACCCGAAACCATGGGTACACGACTCGTGTACTGATTATAAAATGTTAATATTATCTTAAATATTATTATACTAATATTTGTGACTGTCGTTTGTCTGTCTGTCTGTCTGTCTGTTCGGGGTTGGCGGCTACATCTGCCCCGAGTCTGAAATTTCGGGTATAGGGATAGCTCGGACCGGGGAGTAACATAGGCCAGGTGGCGTTAGTCTACCACTTCCGGTTTCGGAGTTATGGTCCCCCGAGCGAAGCCGGTCTGTTCGGGGTTGGCTGCTACACTAGGTCTGTCCCGAGTCTGAAATTTGGGGTATAGGGGTAGCTCGGACCAGGGAGTAGCATAGGCCAGGTGGCGTTAGTCTACCACTTCCGGTTTCGGAGTTATGACCCCCGAGCGAAGTCTGTCTGTTCGGGGTTGGCGCCTACACTAGGTCTACCCCGAGTCTGAAATTTGGGGTATAGGGGTAGCTCGGACAGGGGAGTAACATAGGCCAGGTGGCGTTAGTCTACCACTTCCGGTTTCGGAGTTATGACCCCTGAGCGAAGCCGGGTATCCTGCTAGTCTTAAATATTTGATATTAGGATGCTATAGTTTCACGGCAAGATAACAACATCAACTTCGATTGAAATTGATCAATATTGAATTCTAATTCGTGTTTTTAATTTCGAATATTATGGAAAATATTGTGTTAGAGACTTAGCTCCTTTAAGATATATTATTTAAGAGCCGGTCTTTATATTGGATATTGCAGGCATTTTTTCTCGTTTCTTCAGGCTTCAAATTTATAGCTTGTTTGTTTGTTTGCTCAGGGTTGATGGCTACACTAGGACTGTCCCGAGGCTGAAATTTGGTGTATAGGGATAGCTCGGACCGGGGAGTAACATAGGGTAGGTGGCGTTGGAGTAGAGCTTCCGATTTCGGAGTTATGCTACTTTCAACCCATGCAGCGCCGGGTGACCTGCTAGTGGTATATAAATTTTTGGACATTAGTCAACGGTGGATAATTTCTCGACCTGAATTCAATCTGATGAAACCGAGGCCCATCGACAGGTTTTAACGAAGATTATCGGTTAATAATAATAATAATAATAATAATCGTTTTCTATAGCGCTGAACATTCAGTCAGTCTGACTGTTCTGTGGCGCAGGTTGTATTGGCTTACTTATTTCATCTGTAGTGGACTACAATGTTGCGATATTTTCTCGGTAAATACTGAACGGAATTGAACCATATCCTTTCAGATACTTTGGGTTTCCGTTCGTTTCGAATGACTAGATGTTGGTCCGTGTCAGGCATCCGTTCCGCATCACTGACAAGAGGAAACCACACTGAAAAAATCCCGCAGAACTTTCTTGGCAAATATCGAGACTGACCAACGGGAACTCCTGGTTTGCGAGGAAGAATCCAAGAATTCATTGAGTCAGGTGTGTTGGGTGACAAGGAGTGGGGTCGCCTTTCCAACTTCGTGGGTTTTCTCCGGGCCCTCCGGTTTCCTCCCTCTGCTAAAGACCCCTACGCGCAAGCCAATTTTTAAAATGAAATTGAACCATAGGTTAGTCCCGAAATGACCAAGTTTGTGTCGAGTGGACGTTAAACCCCTATTTTCTCACTCCCTCTATTAGACAAATACCAGGAACAACTAATCTCTTGTCTCGCGTTTCTGATAATAAAAAAATACCCCGACAGATGAAAAATAAAAGAAGGATAAAAAGAAAACACTCGGGAGAATTCGCCTAATTAACTCTTCTGGTTTCCAGCTAAATTCTAAAAACTGTAAATAATAATTATTATTTCATCAGCGTAGAATTAAATTTTCAAGTTATATTTATAAAATGTATTAAAATAAAGCCTTAAAATAGATGGTATCCATAAACAGTCCTACTTTGTTAAAGAATAATTTTATTAATCCTATAATTCGCTATTGCCAGCTGAGAAATTGGCAAAAATATCATTTTTTAACTTCAAATTCCAACGTTGGAAAATGGCTGCCCCATGTTGTCAATAGCAAAACAGGGGAGGTAATTGTGTTGTTATTTCCTGTGTCATATATTTTTAAGGGTGGGAAATAATGCCCATGATCGTATAATAGTGATTTGATAACCTATTGAGCAAAAGACATAGAAATAATTATGTTTTGACTTTCTTAGAAAATTTGAAATTCTCGCTTTAATGAATTAAGTGAATAGAAGACATTTCTTTAAATGACATTTAAAATATACGCCTTATCGAATTAATGGCACAGTCAGGCATTTCTTCGTTCCATTGTGAATTTCCCGGTAGTTCTAATTTGTACAGCAGAATAAAAACAATACGCGGGAAATAATGGAATCCCGATCATCAAGTTGCTATTTTTTGACGTTCGCCAGTCGCAGTTTTAGGAGAATCATAGACACCCCATAAATCATTTCTCCTTCTGCCGGCAAAAAAACGCTAAAACGAACCTTTAGAATATTGAATAAAGACGGGAGTTAATTTAATATAGAATCCATTTCTTTATTGATCTTACAATAAAAATAAAACTAGACTAGACCACAAAAACGTCTTTAATAGTACAGTGAAAACATCTAACATTATATTGTCGCTTCCATCTTTCGTTTAGCTTCACTATTTTATGTCAATTAGCTTTATTTTAGCGGGACAATTTCTATATAGCTGCAGGGACAAAACAAAGCCCGACTTGTCTCGACAAATAAATACTGTAATTAGTGAGAATGTGCTTAAAGGGAAGGAAATGAAATGGGGTTTAAACGTCGTATTGTTGTATACCAACAGAGCTAATGAAGACAGACATGTTGTGCAGTAAGTTTTTCTGGACAGCGGTGTATGTACACGTCGAGCTAATGAAGACGTACATATGCTATGCAGTGCAATAAGTTTGTACCGACATAAGTGCTTCCAATTAATGTACTCTTTACGGGTTAAGTGAGAGGGATGTAATGACGAACTTTGCGTCATAGTTTTGAGATTTTGCGCTCCCTGAAATGACCCAAAATCACATGGTTTCAATGCGGTTTTCAACATTACATGTATAATTTTAATGCCCAACCAGTTTCAAACATATACCGTGGGTCAGATATGCTACAAATCGATTCGATTCGAGCATGTTCCGCACACCCCAATATTACTCAGCTTTTTTGGGGCCCGGACAGGATCTTGTTCCCCATGCAAAATCCTGGATCACCACGCCCCTGGTACTCTTCGCTGAATTCCAACTGCAAATCCTGTTTTACATAGACTACCAACTTGTACACGGGACCTCGTGCCTCTTTCTTGCCAAGTCTCTCCTTCCGGAGGGGGGGGGGGGCACCGGAATATCCAGATAAACTTGTTCGGCAAACACCGGGTTGAAACACGGTATAAAATGATTAGCGAGCTACCGTGGCTCCTCAGTGACAATGGGAAATTAACGGGTCCATGAAGACGGGTACAAATGTAGCGCATTTGGCCCATCATAAATATCTATTTTACGTCGGCATATTCGTGCCACATAGTCGATGCCCTTCTCTGGCTATGCATGGAAGAAAATTTAGAACCCTGTTTTTTGTATAGTCCTTGCACAAATGTTTGAGAGGGGTGTGGTGGGGATGGGGGTTAGGGGCGGCAAAATTTGTCTATCCCCAGCGGCCCTGGAAACCCAACTGATAAATCCCATGTATAATAGCGATGACAAGTGGTCGTTCAATATTGTAATATTTTACAACAATATTGATCGTGTTTCAGTATTTCTCTACCAGACCCCATCCATGGCTTACAATCAACATTGTTCTCTTCTACACACATACCTGTACAGCTTAAAACATTCTCCTATGTTTATATATATAAAGAGAGAGAGAGAGAGAGAGGATGGTGTCTGTGGTCTATACCCTAATCAATAAACTACGGACGATATCAGGCATTCACCACGTGTTTACTAACCACCTCCCGGTCTTTAAACGCTTCATGTCTTAAAGTTTGGCCAAGAGATGGACACTGATTATTGTAATGATTTATAAAGACTAATTAAATACGTACTTGAGTAAGGCTGATTTAATGAGTTAAGTCGATTGACTGACGGCTTGTTGGTTCGGCTGTATCTTACATGAACATAAAGACGGTTGATGGCCATACAAGATCGGCAACACAGACACATCGCTTTCTTCACGATCGATGGCGGCAGGCGAGTTGGGTAAATCCACTTTATTCTACAAATCATCGCTGCTTTTCTTTAACGTTGATTGATTTTTCTTTTTACTTTTCAGAAGGGAAGACGGTGAAACTAAACGACACAGAAACCAGTCATGTCTAGTTATAATACACCGCCGAAAAAGGAGCACCATCTACCTGCCCGAATACCACTGGTTCAAGAAGATTCAGATTCCTCTGTGGGTGACGAATCGGATGACTCGCCCAAGTTGTTCACACCCATGTCTTCCCCGCTGTTCCGCCGGACTGGAAGTGTTACCGACGTATCTCTGGATGTTTTAACGGAGGATACCAACATTAGAAAGAATTCGGTGTCCAACATTAGTGCCTGCTCTACGGCCGAGAAAAATTATTCATCTCTGGCATCACCGAAACTGCAGAGATCGGATTCTGTGAAATATTGCAAATCGGCCAATGGAAACGCGCATCGGTCGAGCTCTCATCCAATGGGGCACTCGACACCGCCTCGAGCCTCGCGGCGCGTGCCAAGTTTAAAACTGAAGCGTCTGAACTTATCGTCCAAGCAAGACTCAACAGCAGAAGCTACTATGCCTTGTTTGTTGCAAAGTGGGGCCACCAATCCTTCGATTACGATTACCCTCGACTCAGACAGTGATTCCGTGTACAGTGACTACCTGAGCCCAGAGATCAACTATAAAAACGATGTGCGTGTTCAGTTTATCGGTGATGACACGAGTCTGTACGGAACACCGAAAGAGGAACTAATCCCCCCTTCACAAGAACCTAACAATGTTACCGAAATTAAACCTAGCCCCACGAGTTATTTGAAGGATCAAATTTTATACTTTTTTCAACCGTCTGATAACAAACTAGCTATGAAGTTATTCGGAAATAAGAATGCACTTATCAAAGAAAAAATGCGACATAAAAGAGTTGGAAATTGGGTTATACACCCGTGCAGTAATTTCAGGTAAGACAACTACTTCTATTTATATTCAATGTAAAACATTTCAAATATTTATTTATTTATTTTTTTTCAGAAACAAAAATATAAATAAACACACACATATTGTATTAATACTTTCACTGAGATTAACACCGTGTTCATGACTGGATTATTTGGCGTGCCACGTGCTTGCTTCCTGGTGCAGTTTCGATTCAAATCGATTTTACCAAAGGCTTTGAAGGAATCTTAGATACTTAATCACATTGACAAGGTTTTAAAAGCACTAAAAATAATCGTTAAATTCTAATTAAATTTGCCATTTTAACCAGGTTCAAAGCTTGCTTAGCTAATCGCTATTATTGTGAGTTATTCATGTGGTATTTTGTCGATTTGTATTCTTTTTAACAATTAATACAACATATAACTTTATGGGGTTATGTTCGTGTCACCAGAAACCGGTACACGTACAATGGTGAAACGTTGTACGGCGTAATGTACATGTATTTCTCAACGTTTTTTCCAGATAAAAAACGTGTTCTTTTTAATAATTATTATATAACTTCATGAGGTACGTTTGTGTCACCTGACAACGATGCAGGTGTATGTACTGAAACGTTGTTACACAATATAACATTGATTTAAAGTAGTTTGTGGTTATGATGTAGATATATTTCTGATTGTTTACCTATAAACTTGTCCTTTTAATCTGGTGTGTAAAAACTGTGTGGTATATACAAAAACTGAATTTAATCGTCCTAGCTGTTCTACTAATAAAACAGTTTATCATATCGCCCTAGTAATAAAACACGAAACATTATGGTATACAAAAAATGATGGAAGCAATGGTTCAACGATGTGCTTGATAAGGCTACAATAAAATATACATGTGTGTTTACGGTTACCGTTATTTTACCGTCTATTTCTTGTAACCCAAATCGCCGACACTGAACTGGAGGAAGCAGGGACGTAACTAGCTCAGAGCAACGAGGGGGGTGGGAAGTGTTCTCAGGGGTGCTGTAAAATTGACTGACAATTTATATCTATATTTTTTATGGTCGACAATTTGTTCACGGGGGGGGGGGGGGGGACTTTTTGCATGGGTGGGGGGGGGGGGAGTAATCGTCCACACAGGTGTAATTTTTGTTTGACCTAACAACAATCGGTTTATTATTGAAACATTGTATTCTATGAAAGCACTCTGTTTGATTTATTACAAAACGGTCCACATTCATATAAATAAAAGAAACTGTTCGAGGAGTTTCAAAGGTTCTTGATACGTCTGCCGCAAAATATCTCAAAAATCTTGGGGGGGGGGGGGGTAATTAAGAACATGATGGTTTGTCTATTAATTCAAGAAATTTCCAATAAACACTTTCTCCATCTCATCGAACCCATTTCACTGCTGAACTTGGCGTCTGTTATTCTTTTTCGGGCTGAATATTAAGCGCTTTATTATTTTATGTTTAGAAGTCTTTAGTCGCCCGACCTCGGGCTTCCCGACATTAATCGTCCCGACTTCTTTAGTCCTAATCTTGGACTGTAAACACCATTTCATTTAATGTCATCCATCGCGACATATGGATGTGTTCCGTTGCTGTGAAATATTTCCCAGACCCAAGTTGAATCTGTATTATTTCTGAGAGTTTTATTAATAGTCTAGTTTACGTAATTTAAACTTTATTTGAGGGGGTCGCCAATAAAATGCATGAAGTCATAATCTGAACGGTCATTCCGTGGGTTGAATACCATTTTATCGCGTAGTTGTTCGATCAGGTGGTTTTTGCGGGTTGTTTATTCAACAGATAAAAAAAACAAAAACAAAACCTGCGATGATTCTCCTACTGACATTTAGATTGATCACTGGAATCTTTTATTGTGGAATTTATTTTAAAGTAGCTAAGTCTCTTACTCAGTATCATCCAACACGATTTATTTGTCAATTTAAATCAACACTGATGTTGTCATCTTACCGGGAAAAGATGAGCTTCTGATATCCAATATTCAAGACAAAATAAACATTTTACCGTTGGTACACGAATTTCAAGGTCCCACATATTAGCGATTTAGCTCCTTTAAAGTCATTTGTATTTCCACTTCTTAACCAATGGTAATATGTACTCAAATTGTTTATTTAACATAAAGAAAAAGAGATCAAAATACCAACGGTAGATAATTTCCCAGTTTGAATTTAACAATATTTGTCTGAAAATGTAAAGGACGATTCGAATCATCGGCTTTAAAATTCGTCTACACATTTTTGTCTTTTCTTTCTTGTAATTTTGATTTTTAAAAGTGGGATTTTTTTTTTCTTCTGTGGGTGGAATATTTGGAATTAATTTCAGCATATTGGACTAGAAGTAAAATTACGGAGTACCTTCACACATGGCGCCCCCTAGAATATCAGGTTGTGGCAGACGGGAACTGCACAAATTAAAAGTAGTAATTTACAAAGTCGCCCAGAACATGTGCTACACGAGGATTAATAATATTAATAACACACCGCAGGAGGAATTTGAATTCCGTATTTTGTTAATTTCTCGGTAAGCAAGTTTTAGTAATCTCTATAGTATTTATTTTTATAATTCCGACAAGACCATATTTATCCGGATATTTCGCCAGACATATTCTGGATTATTGTAATTCTCTGCTATTTTTAATAAGACAGTTGGATTCGAAAAGCCGTTCTTTGTACGGGATTGACTATTATCCCAGAGATCAAATTAATCTCTTTTACACGTTAGCTGGTTCTTTAACGTCTGCGTCCACATTTCTTATATCGCAAACAAATTGTTTACCGTCGAGTGACCGTCATACAGTTATGGCGATTTGTTCTTCCTGAAAATTCTTTTGACACGTGGACAACACGACTACGCTTAATTAGCTAGAGACGGACGAATAATGGACTATTTCTTCCATAATAATTAACTTTTATTGTTCTACTCTGTCACATATTTGTCATTAATTATCAACAATAGTTCAATATAAATCATCTGTAATAATTCTTTCGCGCCAATCACGAACTATATCTCTGCCAATGGATATAGAGCGCTGGGTCCCGCTGTGCGCCGTAGACGTGTATGTGGTTTCTTCCGTACCAAACTATCGCTCGAAAACAATATGATTACTGTTTTTAACTTTCTCCGCGGACTTTTAAAACTCGTTTTCCATGTGCCCGTTTTCGTGGCATTTCCGATTGAAACGGTTCCATTACATTTTGCATTAGACAGACCTTTTCGCTGACAAAAACACGCGCGGGAACGCCGCAAAAACGTGTTTATGTAAAACGGCCCAAAGTTTGAAATGGGCTTTTCTTTCTAGACGACAAATCATGGCTTTTAAACTACTGCTTAATGTCGATCATACCGCTGAACTGTACCCAACAATAACTTCCTTGAAACTTTTAACAATAGAAAAACGGCATGCCTACAATTTATGTAACTTTATTTCCAAATTTTTATCTAAGCAACGTCCTGATTATCTGTTCAATCTTTTGTCTTTCTATGAAACTTCCTACACCAATATTAATAACAAACTAATCACTCGGCTGACCAAAACTTAATATTGTAAAAAACACAGCATCCATTTTAAAGGCTCAAACCTATGGAATTCTTTACCATCTTACTTAAAACTGACCACTAACTTAAATTCTTTCAAGAAACACATTTTAAATATCTTACTGTCAAAGATTAATACTGGTACCTTCTATGTCTGTTTATATAAAAATAATGTACATGTATAGGTAATTGTTCCTTGTTTCACAATTTTATGCCTTTTGCTATTGTAAGTTATATTTTGTATTATGTGTTATTATGTCATCTTCTGTATTATATCTGTCTCTGTTGGTGCTGTAATCTTTTGTATTATTTCATCCTGATTATTTTATACTCCTATGTTCATCCTTCTCCTTTATTTGTTATGCTATCATCTATTGTATTCTATTTTTTCATGAAGGACATGATGATAGAAACGCTTCTGCAACCTGATCCTTTACCCTTCTTCTCAACTAAAGTTATTATTATTATGGTCCGTCTTCGTTAGGTAGTCGGTGCTGAACAGTAGTATCCTGAGCCCTTTCTCCTTTATATGTGCTATTTTGTTAATTATAAAATGTTTTGAATTTGAGTTATCTTGTATTAAAAATTGTCTAGTGAAGAGCACTTTGAGATAACATAACCAATTATTTGGTGAAAACTCAACTATTTTATGAGATAACAATTAAGATGTAGAAGGTAGATATCAATTATTTGGTGAAAACTCAAGTATGTTAAGAGATAATAAATTGTGCTATACAAGGCAAGAGAGAGAAATGGGGTTTAATTTACACTGACACAAACTAGGTCATTTTGGGACTAACATATGGTTCAATTTTATTTCAATAATTAGCTTGCGCATAGGGGTCTTTAGCAGTGGGAGGAGAGAACCCACAAGGTTGGACAGGCAACCCTACTCCTTGTCACGTACAATCAGGAAATTGAAACACACCAGTTGACTCAATGGCAGACCTTACGATGCAGTGCACATGCACTATCCATTCAGCCATCCAACCCGCCTTTATACAAGGTAGTTATCAATATTGTAAATCGGCAGATTCAAAGGTGGGGTATACTACACTATGGAATATCAGAGGTGGGGTATACTACACTATGGAATATCAGAGGTGGGGTATACTACACTGTGGAATATCTGAGGTGGGGTATATACTACACTATGGAATATCTGAGGTGGGGTATACTACACTATGGTATAATAGAGGTGGGGTATACTACACTATGGAATATCAGAGATGGGGTATACTACACTATGGAATATCTGAGGTGGGGTATATACTACACTATGGAATATCAGAGGTGGGGTATACTTAACTATGGAATATCAGAGGTGGGGTATACTACCCTATGGAATATCAGAGGTGGGGTATACTACACTATGGAATATCTGAGGTGGGGTATACTACACTATGGAATATCAGAGGTGGGTATACTACACTATGGAATATCAGAGGTGGGGTATACTACACTATGGAA